GAAGGCGAGAGGCCGGGGTCCTTGCCCGCGGGGTGGGGGCGAGCGCTGTCCTCCGCGCGTGGGGCGCTGTAGTAACTGCGGGTAACGAGCGCTTCCGGCGCGTCAGCCACTAAATATAACGCGCTGAGCGCATCTTCTCCTTTAATCCTGACCCCTCCCCCAAACCTGCGGTGGCGTCCCTGTCCCTTAAAATAAATCCCTGCCCGCCACCAGGGCCTCCAAGGCCGGCCTGACCTCGCCTGCTCGTGGCCTCGCCCGGCTCCATCCCGGAGGCCTCGCTGTGAGGTACAGCATCCGCGTCGCCCCTCTCCTGTTGGCCAGACCCCCTTCCCTGCCCAGCGCCTTGGTGACCAAGTGTGCTCCAGCCTTTGTTTCTCTCCCTCTTGACGTCGGATCAGGGACCAGTACTGGGTCCTGAAGAAACTTAGTGGTGACCAGCATTTTATGCAAATGAAACGATAAACTAGCTGTCAGAGAGCATCCCACACAGTGGGAGTACTGTTGCTTTGTGAAGAGTTTATTCTCACATGTATTTAAGTGGGTTCTTGGTCAAGATGTAGAATGGATTTCTGGCCGTGAGTGCAAAACAAAAAAGTGGAAGCCACTGCAGAGAACAACTTACCGGGCGGTTGTGCACCCAGGCTTCTGACTCCCCGTTTTACAGAGGAAACTGAGACCCAGCACAGGACAGTCGCCCCTCAGGCAAGCTGCAGACCCGGCAGGCTCCTGCCCTGGGTGTCCCATCAGCGCCGCAACACTAAGAGGTTAGTATTGGGCTGAGAAAAGGGAGCACAGAAGCCGAAGAGAAGACAGAAACGTCCTCAGCGTTTGCCTGCCAGGCTTCCCTGGACGTTCTAGAGCTGCGTTCTAGAGCTGCTTTTTCGCGTCGGGGAATTGTGCTGGTGAGACCAGGAGCAGTGCAGCCCCAGGCCGAGCCCAGCTCCAGTAAGAGGGAGCTCCAGGGATGGGGCATCCTGCCTTAGATGTGAGGTAGGACTCTCCCTAGGCACAGCACAGCCTTCCCTGGGGTGCACCCATTTGGGGCAGGGGCCTCCCCAGGTCTCCTGAGCCCCCCAGCAGCCATGTGGCCTGGTGGGCCCCCTGCACCGCCAGGTCCTCACCACCACTACCCCCGCCCCCGCCACTTTCCATGTCCCAAAGTCACAAGTTCTGTGCCTCACACCTCTCGGTTTCTGAGCCACAGCCTGTGTGTGTGTTTGGGATGGGGAAAGCGCCCTTCACCGATAGGAGCTGATTCTGTCTTGGAGAGGGGAGCTGGATCCTGAGCTTCAGGACCAGGGCAGGGGCAGTTCCCCGAGACAGAATTCTAAGAGCCCAGCAGGCTCCCGAGTGCGGCAGGATGGTTCCTGAGGACGTCAGTCACAGAGCAGATGCCTGGGCAGGGGAGAGGCTAAAAATACAGGGCCAGGAACACTGCCCCTGCCATTCAGTCCTTGGTGTTCTGCCCAAAGTGGAGAGCACTTGCCAAAGAGCCGGGGAGAGTTGTGTGGGGGCCTAAATTTGACCCAGGAGTGCATGGGTGTGGTCTGTGTTCCAGGCGAGGGCACACCCACCCAGCATCTTCACCCTGAGCAGCTTTTTATAGGGTCCAGCCCCTCGGTAATCACCTTCCACTCCTGAGCCTGGGAAGGTAGGGAGAGGAACTGAGAAGCTGGAAAACCCCGGGCGGTTTGGCCTCCCTGCGTGCCCCTTCTGCCCAATGGAGATCATGGCTGCGCTGCCCCTCTCACTGGTGGGTGCAAGGACCCTAGAAGATAATGGCTGGACAGGCTTTTGAATGGGGCCAGGGCCATGGGAGACAAGGTGTGCAGAGGACCGCAGATGCAGGTGACCAGTTTTCTACTGCAACCATGAGCCACTTACTAAGCGCCTACTGTGTGCTTGGAGGAGCGTGTCCTTTATTAAGGACAGGTGTGATGATGTGGACACAGGGTCCTAGCACAGCCGATGTCGTGCTGCAGGTGAGGGGCGTATCGCCCTAGAAAGCCACTTTGTGACTTGTGCCCCTGAGAAGGCAGGGCCACTGATGCCATTGCTTAGTAGGAGCAAAACAGAACAGGAGAGTTGATTCAATGACACATTAGTATCCGAGAGGTGGGCAGCAGATAAAGCAAAAACTGTGGTCTGAAGCATGAGGACTTGCCAGCGAGGCAGGACCGCAGCTGTCCCCACTTCCCCTTCAGGACCTGGCACACAGGAGGGGCAGGTGTCCGCCCCGCTAGGAGACAGCCCTTGCCCACCTGGAGAGAGTGAGGGCGTGGGGAGCAGAGGATTACAGGTGGGCTGGGTGGGGGACAGGGCTGGCTTTGAAGGTGTCACTTTTGAGGAGTCGTCCAGGCAGGGAAGGGGGGCTGGGAGGCCCAGGGGGAGTAAGGACTAGAAGGAGAGCAGAACTGATCTTGTGCAGCCAGGAATTCCGAGGCCTCTCCTCCCTGTGAGTCTGGGGGAAAGCCTCTCCTCTGGCCCAGGGCCTGCACGGCTGTTTACCTGGAGGCCCCGTGAGCACAGTGGATGAGATTTGGTGCCTCTTCAGACCTCCCTCCCCTCCTCTCCTTCTCCACACCTTCACCCCTCTTCTGTCTCCCTCTCCTCCTCCCCCCTTCCATCCCCATGTCCTCCCACCCACCTCCCACCCAGCTGAGCCTTCTGAAGTCAGGGGAAGGTGGAGTGATGAGGAGTTCTGGCGAGGTGAAGGCAGGTGCGTTAGGACTGGCCAAGCAGTTGTGGCCCACCTTTCCAGGTCCCACCGGATGGGAGTGGTGAGTGGAGCTGCTGGGACCCTGGGGCTGCCCTGCAGGGCTCAGAAACTTGGAGGACATGGTGGGAACAGGAAAATGGGCAGGCTGGTTGGCTTTCCTCTGCTGGTGGCAATTAAGGGCCTCCCTACTGAGAGCTTTCGAGCTCAGGAACAGCTTGGGGGGTGGGGGGGCACATCCCTGGGACCCCTTAGCCTCCCTCAGCTCCCAGGGCTGGTCAGGCAGACCTAGCTGGGATCCTGGCCCCAGAGCCTCCTGGCGGTACTCTCCTAGTGTCCCCAACTTCAGCTTTCTAGCATGAAAAATGGGGAGCAGGGCCTGTGTCAGATGCTGCGAGGTTGAAAAGTGCAAGTAGACTCCTTGCACCAGGCCGAGGTGAGGGAGGGGCCCTTGTAACACCTCACACAGCGTCACCGCCGCTGCTTGCACGCGGACCCTCCCTGTGAAGAGTGATTGGAAAGGTGGTTAGGGCCCAGGGGTGACCGCAGGCTGGAGGGTGGAGGGAGGCTTGGGTGCCCCTGGCCTCGGTATCACCAGCTGGGCGCCCCCCCACCCCACGAGGCCTTCCCACCCCTCCCTCTGCCTGGGGCTCCCTCACCACCTCGCTCGGGGGAAGAGGCGTCCAGGCAGGCGAGGTCAGTGCTGAGGGCTCAGCTCCGCCACCCACACCAGCAGGGACGCCTGCGGACCCCCTGTACTGTATGGAGGCACAGGCCAGCAAAAGGCCACACGCTGTTTGGTGAGCAGGATGGCCATTACTTGGGCCTAATGGCTGGAAGGGGCCCGGGCAGGGAGCGGCCTTCAGGGCCTGGCGTGGGCGCCCATTCCGCGGTGCATTCTGCCTGCGGAAACCCATCAGGCCGTGCACTCGCGCCTCAGGCGCTTGTGTGCCCGTGCGTTGCGCTTGGACAGTGGGAACCACTGGGAGGCCTGTTCCGGGCCGACTCACCATCAAGTGGCCAGGACAGCCAGAGTGCCCGGAGCCCCGCTCTGTGCCAGCCCCAGAGCCACTCAGCCACGCATGCTCCCCAGCTCCCCTTCCCAGCCCTCGGAGCTGTGACGCTGCCCCTTCAGAGGTGGAGAGACCTCTGGGCTCCTGGGCTGGGTG